GTTTTGGATACATGAAGAAGAGCAGAATTACCTTGTCTTTAAATCCTAGGAAAAGCTTAAATATGGGTCAAAAATAGGTGTGCAGAAATTATCCATTCTGTTTTCATTGTGAATTTGGAGCATTGTAAAGAACCTGATCTGCTGCAAAGGTCTGACGTTGAATCCAGATCAGGAATGAGGTTTAGAAAAGTGAAATTCCACCCTGCCATTGTCGAGACTGGGAAAAGCTCAAATAGTTTCAACTGTTTGCATTGAAATACAAGGGGAATGATGCACACCCATTTTCTTCAGTGGCAGAACAGGCAATGTACAGGCTATGTTTCTTTAAAAACTTCTTTTTGGTGCCCATATTGTTTCGATACGGAGATAGAATGCAGTAGATTTTCTGCCAAAGTACACAGTGGTATCAGTGGCAAGTTATAGATTTTGTGCAAATGGAAGAAGTGGTTGTAACAACAATAATGATTGGAAGTTGGATCAGAAGCATAAAGATTAATGTACTGTTATTTCCCACAACTGAATCTATCATGGACAGTTAGCTAGGTTACTGCTGTTCGAGATACCATCCCCCAACAGGGAACCTGAGCCAACTAAAAAAAGCATTTTTCTTTCAGTGTTTCTCAACTCTTTCCGAACACTGTGACCAAAGTCACCAATAATGGTCAGACCAGAAAAGCCACTCTGATCTGAGAGCAGTCCGATCAGTATTTGAATCAAGTAGTTCCCCATCCTGCCCTCTTCACCAAGGTATTTTATATAAACAATTTCCCCTGCTTTTTTTGGTGACATACCTGCAGTACTGTTAATATTGGAGATGCAATATGATGGAGTTCCCTCCAAACAGACCAAGAATGGAATTTTGTGGAAGCCTGGATTTCAAACCTATTTGCTTCACGTTTAGTTGTGTTAAAATCTATTCCAAATTAACCTGGTCTACCTTGGACTTGGGCTTCAGGGAGATGCACCTCTAATAAACTCAGACTTTTTGTAGGTAAGATACTAATTCAATTGGACAGGAATTCTTCTGAATTGAAATTAGGCTTTCAGCATGTTTGGGGCTAGAACTGCATTCCTTCTAAAGTTCTGGCATGCAGTTCAGTAGAATTTATGAATCCAAGATGTTCCGATAGCCCATAAGCCCAGTTGCTTCCTCTTCTAGAGAAACACAAATCTAATAGTCTAATTATACATTCTGCCTTTGAGAAGTATTCAGAAGCTTTAGTGGGTTCAACATATGATAGTCATTCCAATCATATCACCCCACTTCTTTTCCAGGTGCATTGGTGTGATTATGCTGCAGGATTGAATGATAGCCAGATCTTTAATATTGGCATGTAGCAGACAATGAGGTGTGCTGCAAGGAAGATGTAGTATGATTAGTGTAAGGAATAATTACAGTGTAGAGATATTGTGATTTAAACATGATAATAGTCCTACTTTGTTAAATTAGAGGTATAGTTGACATATCTCCTTACTTCTACATTCTCTTCTGAGTTGGCAAAACTGTCCAGTCCATCTGGAAACATTTTCATTTGGGTACCAAAAAAGCTGATACTGAAAACACACTTTAAAGAAAGAGAACATACCCAACTTTATCCCCAAACAAAATAAATAAATAAACATTAACTGTTATTTCTGACCTGCTGCAAAGATTTCCTACGAATTGATTTATGTAAATCTGTTTTGGTCACATGCAAGAATAAATGTTTCCAAAGATGCATTCTGACACTTTCAGTTTGCAAGAATTACCTAACTGACTCTTTTGGAAAGGAAAAAAAAACAAGTTTCTTTCTCAAAATGATTAAAGAAAGGAACAACTGTTGTAAAGCAGTGGTCACGGCTGATTCTCAACAGTGCTAGTGGGAAGATTATATTCTCTCCTTTTGTGCTTAGATTGTATGTGCCATTGACCACCTAAAATTGCTAAGTGTACAAAAATGAACCTTAAATGGTCTGTACTTAAACCTAAGGCTCTGCAGTACTCAGATTTGAAGGAAAAGAGGTTCTTTGATATGCGTAGAGGCAGTCATGTAGCATGTGTCAACACCTCCTTAAAGCAGCTGTATATTTTTCCGGGACTGTGTGAGTGCCCCTGCAGCTGCTCCCCAATCCCAGAAGAGACATGTTTGATTTCAGGAGTTGCCAACAGATACTATAATCACACTCCAAAGCATCTTTTCTCCTTTGAATCGAAAGCATGGCATAAGCCTACTTTCAACCTAAAAACAAGGCACAGGTCAAGAAGTTATGTAAAACTTATCTAATAGAAGACATTAAGTATAAACCTAATTAGAGGCCACTGGCCATTCTAGTGGAAGGAAGCTGCACAGAAAAGGATATATGGTGGGAATAGATAACGGTCCCTTTTTTGAAAGTGTCAGCTGACTATACTAGCTATGGAAGGATGTTTGTGGGAGAAACACATGCAAATACATGCAGAAACAAATAGCATAGCAAATTCATGAAAACATTTGAAATAAATCATTTTATAATGAGGAGACCAATAAATGAATGAAGCAAGACAAAAAATCCACCCTATACCTAATAGTTTTTATACTACAGGCTAGAAGGAGAAAAGTCAACAAGAGTAATTTTGCAACATTTACAGAAACAAGCAAGCAAACTAAAATTTAGCAGGATCAGGTGCACCACAGCAGGGGGATAAAAACATCAGAATCATAAGATTTTGAGAGTTGAGGAAAACAGACAGTAACATTATCAAGAACAATATCGAAGTATTCTGTTCTCTTGTGGACTCGCTTTGGAGAGAAAATATAGAATAATGTCCTTAGACCTTATCAAAGTGCATAGCTTTTTGGAACATGGCTTGGTGGGTGGGAAGCTATTTGGCAACTTGCCAGGTTAGGAAAGTCCCTGAGTAATAACTCAAATTCTGAGTTAATTCTCTGATTAATTCAACATCTGTTCTGCTGGGTTTAGTCAAACCATTTTGTTTTAATGACTCATTAGGACTTACTCACTATTTATGGAGTCATAAGCTGGGACTGTTCTGTTAAGGGTCAATATTTTCTTTACCAAAGCTGCTGTAAAAATGACTTTCATTCATTCTTTGCCACTTTCACTAGGAATGCTAGGTAATCTGTTGTTGCCTCACTCTTTCATGATCTGTTTTTTACTTCCATATACTGTAGCTGGCAAGTAGTGTTCTGTGCTGGAGATGGGAAGTATTTAATTTTCCCAAGTATTTCAAGAAGTATCTGATCATATTTCAACAGCAGTTGTATCCATGGGTCTCTGTGTGTGGCTGTTGAGTAACATACACCTCTTAAATATGATTTAAAACTTGCTTTTGTTTGGTTTTGCTTGAAAATCCCCTGAGCGTGCTTCAGAGGGAAGTCCAGAGCACTTTCACACCTGCAGCCAAAAATAAAAACAAGTGTTGTCCTGTACCAATGCATGTCTTGTATGTAGGGACAGCAGGAAGGGGGTCCCCTCTAGAATTTGGAAGCTACTGCTGCTGCTGCTGCACAACAGAAATGCAGTCAGCGTCCTGCAGCTTGCTTTTTAACACCTAAATGAAGTATTTGAGGCAGGAATAAAGGTTGTCTTCTGAAGCCTCTCTCTTGGAATACCTTGCTGTAGGTTCTTTGAAAAACGTGGAATAGAAAATTGTGTGTAGCTATCATATTGGTCTTTATTTGACATAATTGACAAGTATCTCTAGTTTTTCAACACTTTGAATTGAAATATCCAGGGAAAAGAATCTAAGCATATTGAATCTGGGGTTAATTCTATCTTCAAAGCTTTGTGTGGAAATGTTTGTATTTTATGGAATATTAGTAAGTAATAAAGTATAAACAGCTTAATTGCATACAGTTCTTTCAACTGCCAAAAAAGAACAAAAAACTAAGAAACTCGTATTACTAAATCTAGCAGGAACACATGGTCTGAGGCTCCAGTGACTCACAAAAACCCCCAGAAGTTATGAGTGTAGTCCCAGAGACCAAATTGTAATTTTTAATGAGAGAGAGCAGGAAAGTTAATAATGCATTTTAAAGAAGCATAGCCATATTTAATTAAGCTTTATTATATTTAAATGTAAATTAAAGCTAATACATTTTCTGTCCTGGTCTTGTTTACTTTTAGAAGTGCATCATGCAGAGCCCTAGTCTGGCTGGTCTGGTCATAAGGTGATGCACTCCTGAGGTATAGCATGTCTAAACATTTCTGCCTAGATGCTTTTTAGGTATAGTCAATCATGTAAAAAGAAAAGTAATATCTAAATATTTTAGATTTGACTGCTATACTATTCATTCCAATCGGGTGATATTGTATTAATTCATTCTGGTACTTAAAATAGAAACACTTTCACCCCACATCACTGGCTGCAGATTTAAACTGCAGTTTGTTAAAAGAGAGATTGGATTATAGTCTTTAAAGGATTCATAGCAGAACCCAGTTATTCTGTTTGCAACATATTATCTGTACAACTGTATTACCTTCCATAAAAAGCACTTCTGAGGCAGCTTGTGGCTCGGATAGAAAGTGCATGATGCCACCCACCCCCAGTCTCCCTGTGAAAAGGCAGCTGCCCCTGTTCCCCACAAGGCACTCTGCCCAGTCTGAACAGTTGGGAATCCCAGTCTCATGGCGGTCTCCAATGGCATTCAGTTAGGCACTGGGAAAGCTTCCTGTAGGCCTTCCCTGTTAGCCCTGATGAAGCACAGAAGTTCCTTGGGGCTGTTGGGGCAACTGCTTGTTAGATCCATGACTCTCCTGGCTGTTCAAAGCTTCCAGGGTAGGCTCCTGTAGTGGATCCAGGCAGTGGTAAATGCATCCTTGAGACTTCTCAATGGCTTTTGATACTTTTGTGCATGGTATTCTTTTGGATCAGCGCAGGGGGTTGGGAGTATGAGGGATAGCGTTGCAGTCATTTTCCTTTCTCCTCCAGGGTTGATTTCAGTCATGTTGGTGGACTGGTTGTTGGTTTCACAATAACTTTGGGGTTTACCATGCTTTTTTGTTCTTTCTCTCTGCAGTCATACTTCGTTACAGATTATGATCCAACAATTGAAGATTCTTACACAAAACAATGTGTAATAGATGAAAGAGCAGCAAGATTAGATAGTAAGTTTCTTATTTATTTTGTCCCACTATGGAATTTGTATTGGGTGCGAAATGTCTGTTTAAGGGCTGACTCCATTTTCATTATTTGATTTCACTTGTTTAATTGTTCCTCTCTTTAGTTGCTCTAAGCATGTAGAGCCTCTACATACATACATACATATTAGCTTCATTTTTCCTCTACAATGGTTTTCTGCATTCTTCACATGTAGAAATTGAATCTTTGTAACCTTATATCCTCTCATGGGTAGAATTATTGTAGAACAGTATTGCAGGAAGGTGAAAACCTCTCTACTTCTGGTCTAGAGGTGTTCCATGTCTCTGCAAGGCAGTTCTGGACATGGTATACATGTATCTATATACTAAATACGTGTCACTTTGCTCTCCCACAAAGCCATGTTGGAATTCATTTTTAAAGATTAAATAAGGCATGCATGGTATGACAGGGAAATATCCTCTACTGTACCTCCAACATTCAATTGCTTGAAGTTTCCCCTTTGTTGACTTTTGGTACTGCAGTTAATCTAGAGATAAAGTTTAAAAGAATCATTGGCGTGCATAGCAGAAAGGCATGGGAGCAGGCAGGTGCCACCTTGTTCCTTGCATGTTTAATTTAAGAGAATATCACCTTAGCTTTTAAATAGAATTTAAACCACAGCTAATGCATGGAGGTTGTGAAGACAGTTTTTTAGGCTGGAAAATTAACTAGCCTATTTTTTTTTAGTTCTAGATACAGCAGGCCAAGAAGAATTTGGAGCCATGCGGGAGCAGTATATGAGAACAGGAGAAGGCTTTCTGCTTGTCTTCTCAGTCACAGATAGAGGAAGGTAATGAAAGTGTGTACCAGGGCTATCAGATCTACAGTACCTAGAATAAGTAACACTGAAGTTCTCAACACAGTAAATTAATCCTGCTGCAAAGCTCCAAAGAAATGTCTAGCTAATTCAACCCGAACAAGAGAATGGTGGATTTGGTTTTCTTGAGTGTAGCTCTACCATCCCACACAGAAGAGTTTCAGAAGTATTGTGAGATGAGAGAACTACTGGCTTGGATAGTTCCTAACAGGTTTTTTCCCCTTATTTCCCAGTTTTGAAGAAATTTATAAATTTCAAAGACAGATTCTTAGAGTAAAAGATCGTGATGAGTTCCCTATGATTCTAGTTGGAAACAAAGCGGACCTGGACCATCAGAGACAGGTAAGAATTTGGCAGGAATGAAATGCCAAAAAGAATGTGGCGTTTTCTGAATGCAGTTGTAGTAGAGTATATGCGCAGACAAATGGCAAGGGGTTCAATTCTTGGCATCTCCAGACAGAATTGGAAATGCTTCCATTTGAAATCAACACAGTTGATGGAGAGCTACTGCTAATAATGAGGGCAGCATGACCTGGAATAAGGAAACTCCTTGTATTGACTCCTTTTTAATATGCTTGAAAATTACAGATGGAAGATGGCCATGTTGATTCTACCATATTCAGAGTTTACGGAAGGCTGTATCTTCTTTATTAAAGCTGGAGAGATCTGTGGTTTACTCCTTTTCCACGTGACTAATCATTATTTTTCAGGAAGTTGCCCTCTTGATTGATTAATTATGTGCCATCAAGTTGGTGTTGACTCTTAGCCATCACATTCTGGCATAAAGTAGATCAGGCTGTCTTGCTCTGCAATTAAGAAATTTAATACTTAAATATTTAGATAGGAAGCCACTCTTCCTAATTTATGGAAGCATTTCTGCATTAAATCAACTTCTTCTCTGAGCAATTGCCATATGAATGTTATTCAGGACAATATCTAAGCAATGAGACAATTATCCATGACATCATTATTAAGGCATGAGTCTCTTTCCAATTATGTTTCCAGCATTTCTGATACCAAGAATTACTCATAGCATTAGAGAGTGCTCTGAGGATTGGTTTTTATTAATAGTAGTAATAATAATAACCTTTCCAGAAAATGGATTTATTAGAATGCAATTAAAAGAGTAGTTATTTTGAAACAAACAGCACGTAAAGAGGCAGTCATTTGGCAGTATAGATGAAAAGAGTAGAATCTTTCTGTCAGTAAAAGTAGCTGGCATTTATAGGAGATGCCTCTGTCTCCCTTTTGCCATCAACCCCCAGTGTGCCCTGTAGAACTGATGTCCCAGGTGTCATGACATTATCATGCAAATGGAACACATTACGTAGTGGATGATATGCAGTACGTAATTTGCACATGAGGCACATGACATCACTTGCTGTCAGTCCCACCCGTGAACAACATGTCCATTATTATGTCACAGTGGCTACTGATGTGGAATGCTGTGATGTATGACTGTAACACTTGGGTACCAAAATTTCTTATCTTGTAACAAATTGGATATTTGGCTTCATTGGTCTACAGCCTCTGTCTCTGCTTTGCTTAGTCTTTTGTTGGGCTCAAATTTTACTGATCAAAATATTTTAATGCACAGTTGATGGGATGCTCCAGTAGTGCATAAGAATTTGTGACAGAGCTTGAATTAGGTGCCTTAGTTATCCAGACACATCAGTATATTGCTGTTATGTACATCTTTTATCCCTGTTCTCAGGTAACACAGGAGGAAGGTCAGCAACTAGCACGGCAGTTGAAAGTAACCTATATGGAAGCTTCAGCAAAAATACGGCTCAACGTAGATCAAGCTTTTCATGAACTTGTCCGAGTTATAAGGTAAACCTTGAATTGTAAATGCATTAAAATGCATTTAACTTCATTTCTTTTTTAAAAAAACAGACTTTCTTCCTTTCTATCTCCATTTTATTATTCATGGAGTTTATTCTTTGATTGTTTTATATACAGGGAGGGGACCAAAGTCATATGTAAAATTGTCATGCTTTTGTAAAAAATGAGCCTATGTGTAAAGTATATATGAATTCTCTTTATAAATAGAGGGCATATTGTTATAAACCAAGTTTATAAATGTAGTCATCTCAACATCATTAGTTTCTGTATCTTAGGTAAATAATTTGCCAAGAGTTACACCATTAATAATCCTATATATTTTCTCTGTCCCTTAGCTGGTATAATCAGTCAGTTTCAGTAATGTAGCTTTAACAATGGATCAAAATGAACAATTTTTTTCAAATCAGTTTTCAGTTCACTTTTAATCAGTTTCCTAAAAGAGAGTGCTTACTTTTTCTAATAGCATGACATTCTTTGGAAAATTACTTTTGTTTGCAAATCCAATTTGATGGATAGAATTCCTTTCAGGATTTGGAACCTCCTTTCTTTTGCCCACTGTTGCTTTTTGTTACTAATGTTATCACTAAAAATTGCCTTTTGCTAAATGCTAAATACTTTGAATATACCAGGGGCTTTTTTTTATTAGCTTTATCACATTTTGTTGGCATTATTGAATTAATATTCCTGCCAAGATTTTTTTTTAATTAAAAGTCTTTTAGTACAACACCTCATTATAGAAAGTCCTAAAGTGAGTTATATAAACAATAATATCATTCTAATATAAAACAGAATAAAAAGAAAATCATAAACAATCCATTCAAATATAATTATTAGGGGGAGTTAATGTCTAAAAAAATAAAAATATGTGTTTATACAATATCTAAAATCCATCAGTAGTGGGATATGCAGAGTGGAGGTGATTCTAAAACATTGGTGTCACCAATGTTTTGGTCCCAAATTATTAAGATTTTGTTTGTATGCTAATGTGGGCATCTTAGCCTGGTCAACTACAGACATCCTGATGAAAGTCATTCATTAGGGTGACTAAAGATTTTCCTGTCCCTTAACCAGGCAGAATGTAACTGGAATGATCTAGTATGGGGATGGTGGGAAAAGATTGCACTTAACATTTTGGGGGCTGTAAAGTAGATAAGGCCTGATCAGATATGTGGTTGGTGCTGGGTTTGTGGAGAGAAGCTTTGGAGGGGTTCTTTTTTATTGCAGTATGCCTATTTTAGGACTTATACTTTTTGTGGATTTAGCATTTGTGGTTAGATGGGGCTCTGAGGGCCACTAATAGAAGCTTTGGAGATTGCAACAGGTTGCCCACTCCCAATTCTAGATAATTGATGTCCTCGAACTACATTTGTAGCTGCTTCATCATCACTCTCTTGATCACTATCTAGAAATGAGGTATTTGCTATTGGGCAATAGATATTGCAGTCCTCTGGATCCTACAACCTTTTTCAGGAGCAGCTGTTTAGTCAAGTTGCACCCTCATAATCAGGTTTTATTATGTTTGTTTATTTGTTTTATGTTCAATCTTTCCATAAAAGGACCAGGTTGCATGGATTATCCTCTTGCTACTTTTTCCCAAATATTACCTTGTGATGGGACTAGGGTGGCTTTATGATTGAGTGGTGATATGAACCTGGGTCTTCCAGTCTGACTCAAAAATATTGGAAATCCAATGTCATGTTTTGACATTGTTTTGAATATACTCTGACCACAAAAGTTAAGCATGGAACATGTAAATTGAGCATGCCAACTAAATGTTGGCAGGAAACACCATGCTGTAATAGAGGAAGCTAGAATGAAATATTCCGGATATTGCTGACAAGAAGTGCCTTACAAAAATATGAAGTGAATTTCTAAATGGCCCATCTCAATTAAACCCATTGGAGTGAAAAAATTCACTTCCATCCATTTTATTTTTATGTGGGTGCAGAATGCCATAATAAACCTGAACTGAATGGATTCCTAAAATTAAAATTTACTCCCATGGGTGGTGGGGGGGAGGGACTGGCATTGGTCTATGTGATCCATTCAGAAAAATCTGGAGCCAATGGACAAGCTAAGTGAGCATATCTTATATCTGGAACTGCATGGGGTTGAAGCCTTAAGTCTTATCTGCATTTTCTTCTTCCATAGGAAATTTCAAGAACAAGAATGTCCTCCTTCCCCAGAACCAGCAAGGAAGGAGAAGGACAAGAAAGGGTGCCACTGTGTCATCTTCTAAAAATCCTTTAAAACAAGCTATCAACTGCCAGATTAATTCTCCTCACTTTTCTTTCTGTGTGTCTTGGTGTTTTGTCTCGCTTTATATGTGCATGTTGTATAAATGGTCACCAAAATAGCCTTAGTTGAAAAGAATCAGACTGATCCAGACCTGGAAGACACCTTAGTCATCTCACATCAGAGGTCAAATTACTAAGGCTTCTTTGAATACTCCCGAATTCTTTTTCCCTTGAGTCAAGAAACTTGCACTTTGTGGAGTTTTATTCACAATGGACAGAAAGTAGTTTTAGGAGTCTATTGAGGTCAAGCTTAAAATGGCTGTATGGGTATTTCCCCCCCCCCCCCCGCTAGTGAGATCTTTGTTGATCATACTTGAGAGAAAGTCCTCTAATCAATATGTAGAGTATTTTTTTAAAGAGTAGATTTGGAGGTTTTACCCTTTAATTAGATTAGACAACAAAATTCAGCTTGCCTTACAGGAAGCCAATACACTGAATTTCATTGGCAAAGTTTTGTGTTACAGCTCTTGTTTATGCTGCAGTTTTTTCCAGTGCTCAACTGTCTACTGTATTTATTTTATGGCTCCAGCAATAGCTACAGGATTATTAGTATTACAGCTTTATGGCCAAATACCTGGGTTCATTATGGACTGGAGCATTTCAGTTTTAGAAGATATTACATCATGGTTTGGAATAAAATTGTGTCTTCCTTTTGTATTTCCAGGTAAGAGATTCCAGAAAAATTAACCTGTAGCTTTTGTTTTTCATGTAATATAAAAAGAGGATTTTGCTCTTTTCATTGTCAGATGATTAAATGTTTTTTGCTATATACTTTTATACATTATTTTCTTATCAAACTAGTTAACAAGTATTTTTATATGTTTGTAAGCAAATATGCTTTCATGGCATAAGTTGTGTATATGTAAAGATGAGTATTTAATTCTCACAGTATACTTTTAACTGATGGAATTACGTAATGCAAGATTTGTAGAACTGTGGTAGAATCTCTTTTCTGTTCCAGTTGTACCGAGTAATGGCAGGCAGATGTCTGCCCAATATACAGTATCCATTATGGTATCATGTTCTTCAAAACAACTTCCCTATCCTTCACAAATGATTGACCATTATATAACTATTAAACTGTACAAATGTTTAACTGAATGTTCAGTTCAGTTGTGGGCAATATCCATCTTTAAAGTATGCCAACCATGGTTAAGAATTTTGGGGTTATTTTGTGGCATTACATACTTAGTGGGATTGACAATTTGTCGTCTTTCTGAAATTGTAAAAGAGTGCCATCCTGTTTGGTTATTCAGTATACTCTTACATAATTTCAGCAGCTAGAACCGAAGGTGATAATTCACAGATCCACAATGGGGAGGTGAAAAAAAAGACCTGAAATGACCATTTTCAGGCTGAAGTTACTTAAAAGCAGGCCAATTAGAATGTTCCAAATTCACCCAATGTAAAACTGAGCAGAGCTGCTTCATAATCTCCATTATGTTGCGAGCGGATATGAAACAAACTACTGAAACAGAACTTGAACATAAAACATTTTAAAACTGCACATGCATCCACAGCACGGTTGCAGACAGAGGCCCTGGTTCTTCCCGATTCAGTTCCTGGCACTGTAGTTATATTTAAAAAAATAAATAAAGCCTCAACTCCCTCTGACATTAGGGACATACCCATATAATTTTGGCAACAATAAAAGAAATGATGTGCCACTACTACTTCCTGAGGTTTTTGTTTTTGTTTTTTTAACTTTCCAGACAAAAATGCAGCGTAATATTTTCTGGGGGTCTTTCCTAAGGGACTAACCAAATATGACCTCGCTTAGCTTTTTGAGATCAGCTAAGTGGGTACATGTAAGCTGCCATCTACAAAGCAGTGTTAACTGGAGCAAGCAGGATAAATAACTTAATGTAAACACACTTGCTGTTCTTGTAGAAGGAGAACAACATTAGTGTATGGTGGCCAAAAATCAGGAATCTCCTAGCACCTTTTCCAACTAACAAATGTTAATTGGAAAAGGTGCTACTGGATTCCTGATGTTTTGCTCTTCCTTGATGATTAACTTGATGATTGATATATACATAAAAGTGCACAGTTATATTGAAGTCCCATGCTTCAGTTTGTTTTTGGCATTCCTGTACTGATAACAGTCAGTACAGAGTTTTCCTCATGTTGCAAAATCAATTATCTCATTACCGTGATTGTAGAACTTTCTTAAGACAACATTGTGCAAACTTTATGGAATGCAGAAAAATCCTCTTCATGTGATGACTTAACAATCATGTCTTCTCCTGCCCTCTGCCCCATCTCAAAGCACCCAGCACCTGTCCACAACCAGATAAATCAGGCCCAATTGATGTGGCTTTCTTAGAGCATTGCTAGGTTGCAAAAATATAAAAATTTTATGAAACTACATGCGTTGATGATTCTCTGCTGTCTTTCAATATTCTTTGAGGAGAGGTTAGGACTCATATCATTCTTCACAGATGTTATCCACTGAAGTTTTTAAAAAAGCAAATTGGCATTTTAACTCCCAGGAGGGAAGATCAGAGTTTGGTAAATCCTTTCTGGTTATAGAGGTGATGATTTAATTTATGAGTACAAAACACATTGCCCTGTTTCCAGAGGAAGAAGAATAGATTCTTATAGCTGAGAAACTGCCATTTTATGAACACCAGTTAAATTTTATGCAGTCATGACTCTAGGTTTTTTGGATTTCAGCACAAGAAAAGAAAAGAAAAGAAAAAAAATCTCAGAATAATAAGCTTCATTGTGAGACCTAATTTTAGGTACTAAATGTGGTACATTCCTTGAGTTTTCCTGCTCTTCAGTTATTTAGATAACATGTTAATAAAAGCTGGAATGGGGGGGGGGGGAGATCAGTAGTTTCAGAACTACTAGTCTGAGCTGCAAGTGCTGTATGTATATGATATATACACTTGCACACTACTTAAATATCGATCCGCAATGCTTGCATAATTTTAACTAAACGAAGCCTCAAGTATACTAGAGAGACCGTCATCATATTGCTTAAATAACGAGACAAGCACAGCACACATTGATTCTGTTTTGTATTGCTGATTTTTTATGTGAAAAACAGTTAGTTATCTGATAACGTCCTTTCCCATTTTGAAAAGAAGTGTGTTTCAGCAGAATCTAACATTACTTTCAGAAATCTGCAAGCCATTAGATCAAGCGTTCAGTTACCTTTCAGGAACTCTGTATAAGTGGGATGGAGAGACAATTAGTCAGACAAATTGGGGGCTTAATCTGTTTGCCTCCTTCTCCGTAGCACTCCCTGCAGTTCTGCTGTTGCCTTCCGCTGATTGGGGCAGGCCCCACTGCAGTTCAGGGTGCTCATTGAGAAGAGACAGATGTCTCAGAATTCTGCTTCAGCTGGTCAGAAAGAACAGCTGGTATCCCAGTTGTGCTCTTCCCTCAGCAGCTGCAGGAACGGGCTCCATCTCCATTCGGTCACTTACATCCAGAGAGGGGGAAAATAAGAGCCAGCTGTTAATGCCAGGCAACTGCTGCAGCACAAAAGTAAATGGGGGTTGGCTGTCTCTCACTCGTAGCCTGAAACTGTCAGTTGCAAGCCACACCTCCGTTAGGTGGAAGTTAGGATGAAAAATATGTAAAGGGCAAATAGCTTGTTTCATTCTGCTTGCCCTCAGGGGAATTGTGGAGATAGAACACAGTCCGCATCTCCTGTATACCTATCGTACTTTTCAACTTTGGTACTGGACCAGAAGTCCTCTCTTCCAGTGGAGACGAGTTGCTGCCTATGGTTAGTGCAGACCAGAATTGCCAGATGCTTTTGACATAACCTTCCAAAATGTTCTGGAGCAGCAAGCAGATGGTCAAGTCAACCTTGCAAGGAGATTGTGGGAAATGATAACTGACTCACTGGTAAAAAAAAGTCAAGAAGTAGAATTTATTCAGGTACCCCAACACCTCCCTAATGATTGGGGCAGGGTGACACAAGCCATTAAGACTTAGGCTTTCTGTTACTGCCTCCAGCAATAATGATGTGTGTCAGTCTTCAGTATTCTGCTGGCTTCATTGTAATCTTTTCCACATGCAGTTTTCAGTTCAACAGAATGAACATAATGCAGTTCTTTTTTAAAATGTGACTTGGGGATTTTGGGATTTGTAGTCAGAGATTTTTGCCATCTCTGGAGGGTATCTGATAGGTGGAAGGGCGTTCCAGGTGCTAATAAGTCTGCTAGCGTGATGTTTTTTAAATGTTTTAAAGTTTTAAAAACCTATAGAAACAAGGCTAAAATATTAGCTGGTAAATTGCAAGGTAGAGAGCTGATCTACTGTTTTGGTGCATGGGATATTAGATTCATCCTGGAGACACTGAACGGGTACTCCCGTTTCCAGAAAATTGATTTCTGACTCAATTTGATTCTGTGCTATCAAAATTGCTGATAAAGACCTTGCATTGGGTTAGTGGCTGATTGGATCAGGCATGCTATATGGGAATATGGCCAGTGAAAAGAACAGAGTGCTTATTCAGAAGTTATATTCACTAATGGCCCTCCATATAGAGAGACACAAGACAGTACTGAGATTGTCACAGTGTGTGCCACTTTCAGGCAGCCAGAATGAGCATATATGTAGAAATCTATTTTCCAGATGGGCCCTGTATCATTAAAAATAAATCCAGGCACTGTTTTTGCATTTTGCAGCCAAAAAGTATGAAACTCCTTAATATGGAGGAAACAGATGCAAGAGGAGATAAAGAAAGAAAAAATATTAGCAAAATGTTAATGTTGCTTCCTAATCAATACACTTATGATTCCTACCTTTTATCTCTCTGTTTTTTTTCAGTTTCACCTCTTCTGTAAAGCCCTTGAAAATCTTAATCCATTTATCCAATGAGCTAAGGCAGTAGACATGAAATTGCATTGATGTGTGTTTTCCCTAGTCTTACCTCTGATGCGGTATAGATTGTAGCCTCATGGAGGCAGGAACTAATTTTTTTGCTATTGTTATTCTACAACATTCTATCTGTTGATGGTATGGTATAACAGTAATAAAGTTAAATTACTGCCTTCATGGATTTCGCAGAAATGCTGGTGCTCACCCATCCCTCCACACATACAAAAAAAATCTTAATATCTTCATTTTGTAACTCAACTCACATCCGTGTTCAGATCATCTGTTGGAAAATCCTCTTTTTAAAAAATGTGATGTTTTATGAATGTAGGAAAAATTACTATAATCTGAGGAATTAAATCCTTGAAGGCACTGGCTTTTTAGCAGGAAGAATATACTGGTGGGTTTTTTTTTAACTTTTTAAAAGTCTTTACTCTCAAAATGCCTACTGATTCAAAAATACACTCATAAAACTATTTCAAGCAAACCTTTGAGAATGATATATATTAAAAAAAATCCTAACCTCAGAAAATTCCCAGAACTTGGGTGATTGGAGTTAAGAACATAAGGACATAAGCAGTGCCCTGCTGAATCAGACCTCTGGCCCTTCTAGTCCAGCAGTCTGTTCTCAGTGGCCAACCAACGGCACAAGGAATCCCACTAGTCTCCCAGCAGATGGCCTTTGGAGGCAATCACACTGCCATCAAGGCTAAAACTGGAGAGCCAGTTTGGTGGAGTGGTTCAGGTGCTGGCCTAGAAACCAGGAGACTGAGTTCTAGGCCTCCCTTAGGTGTGAAAGCCAGCTGGGGGACTTGGGGCCAGTCTCTCTCTCTCAGCCCAACCCACCTCACAGGGTGGTGGTTGTGGGGAAAAGAGGAGCAGGAGGATTCGGTATGTCCTCCACCGTGAGCTGATCAAAATATATAAAAGGTAGGATTTAAAAAAAAACATTGGTGCAGGTTACCCAAGCAAGTAACCAGCACCAATCTCATGGTAGCAAATTCCAGAGTTTGTGCGTTGTGTAAAAAAAAACATCCTGATTCTTCCAGGATTCAATTTCATTGAGTGACCTCTGGTTTTAATTGTCCATGTTCGTTGGGAATTCTGAGACCTAGAGTCCCAATGGATCTGTAGATGACCAGGGTGGAGAAGGCAGGAGTTGACTACTAATGTAAATGATTATTAGGATTTCCAGCGTAGTTCCATTAACAAAGCTGATATTATACTATGAGAAGATGTCAGTCCAACAGCTCAGTCTTGCAAATTTAGAAATAATACCAATCCACATTGTTGTTTTTAAGGGTCACTTTGATTATACATACACATCAAGTGTTAACTACAAGGAAGCTGTGTTTAGTTATATTAATGGATCTTTACCACATGAAAAATGGTTGAAGAGAATCTGACATATATTACAGAATCTGACTTGTTCAGTTATGAAGTGACACTCATACTGAATGTGATTTTATAGATGAACTCGCCATGATACAATTTTTAAAAATTGGTTTTAAAAAAATGTTTGTTTCACAACTGTCATTTTAGTGCCAAATACCTGCCTCTGTATTTTCTTAAAATGAAGCACAGCCATGGCCTTCGAAAACAGTTTTCTCATTTCCTCTTTTTCTCAACATTGAGGTATCTCTTAGTGGACATTGTGAACTGGCAACTCTAATCTATGAACCTTCAGAGCTGTTCTTAATATGACAAGGAATTGTATACAAAAAGCATTTAGTTCTATTTACTAATGGTACTTTCTGATATTGAAAATTTATGAAAGGGTGTAATTTGTCCAAAAGGATTGTGGACCTGTGCCACTGGTCCCACCACCAAGATCATGTATTTCTTCAATGCCATCCCTGTTACCCAAACGTTAGACTTGAATATCTGCATGAGAAAACCTCTCAGGACACTCTGTTTAATATTGTTTACAGGATTCCAGAAAATATAGCCCATACTTTTAGTCCATAGGTATCAGGGTCGAGAGAGAATCATGGTCTGATGTGACATCAGCCATTTGTTCATGCTTGTGTAATAATTATACTGGAAGATCAGTACTAGCTGCCAGTTGCTTTCTGGGCACAATGGAAAATGTTGAGATTAATCTGTATCTCCCCAAATGGTTTTATGAAGACCAGTTTTCCAGGGGGAGCGTCTCTCCTGTGATGACTATTCAGATGGTAAAAGCAACTGGAGAGGACCTTCTGAAGATTCCTTCAATTCTCAGAGGTTGGTATATGTGGCATGAGAACCTAAGAGTGGTCTTCCTGGATCAGGCCAGGTCTCACCTTTGTCCATTTTATTTCTCACAGTGGCCAACCAAATGCCTGTGAGGTGCTTGCAGGCAGGAAGTGGAAATATGCCCCTCTCTTGTCATTCCTCTGAGACTTATATTTGGAGACACTGAATCTTCAATGCTAAATCTCTGAGACTAATAGTCTTTGATAGACTTCTCACCGTGAATGGATGCAGTCTCCCTTTAAATCAATCAAAGTTAATGGTCATAACCATGCCTTGTAGAAATGAATTCCA